TGAGTTCGAGAGCAGCCTGTTCCAGGACAGGCTCAAAAGCTATATAGGGAATCCCTGTCTCCAAAAACCACAAAAATAAATAAATAGTTATTATTGCTATGAAGAACATTCAAAAAAAGAAAACAAATCGATCATATTTTTGTCCCTTTTCTATATTTATTTGCATTTTTGTTAAAGTAGTTGGATAATTAAAATTTATTTTAATGACACATCTGTTGGCTTCCTTTTCTCCATATTCTTACCAAACTGTTCAGGAAGGAAGGAAGGAAGGAAGGAAGGAAGGAAGGAAGGAAGGAAGGAAGGAAGAATGAACTAGATGGTGCACACCTGTAATCCAAGCACTGGGGAAGCAGAAGATTCCATTCAAGACCATCCTCAGTCTCACAGGAAGTTCATGGCCAGCCTGGGAAACATGAAATATTAGAGTATGCATACTGCCTAAACCTCCTTTTAACGACATTTCATTTAATTATAGAAAATTGTAAATACTTAAAGAAGCAGAAGGGGAGTAAAGAATACCCAAGTCTCTGGGCAGTAGATCAGTATTTATCCTGGGTATACAAATGGACTTTGGGCTCCCATCCAACAATGTGAGGTGCACTCTCACCCTGGACTCTTGGGTGAGGGTCTAGGCCGTGCCCTGGATGAAATGACAGACTATGGACACACTCATGGAGGGCCTCACCCTCTCTGGGGAAATGAGGAGATATTGGAGGGGTTGGTGGGAGGGCCTGGGAGGAGGGGAGGGAAAGGTAGAGGGAACTGGAATTGACGTGTGAAGCAACCTTGTTTCTAATTTAAATTAAAAAAAACTTAAAAAAAAGAAGGATATAGGTCAAATAATAAGGCAAATAACCTACCACTCAAGAGGTTCAAGCAAGAGGGCTACAATTTCAGGCCACACTAAGTAGCAGCACACTGTCTCTTGAGTGGTAGGAACACATACATGTATCACCACACTACTTTATGCAAGAAACTTGGAAGTTCTACCTGAGGTCAGCCTGATGGCTCAGTGTGTGAAGGTACTTGCTGCCAAGTGTGGCATGGTGAGTTCAGAACCATAGGCTGACATTGTAGAGGTAGGGATAGGCTCCTTCATGTTGGCCTCTAATTTCTTTTGTACACCATAACATGAAAATACACACATAAATAAACAAGCTTATCATAATATAATGATAAAAGGAAAAGTTGCCAAGCTGAGCATGGCAGCTCATAGCTGAAATCCTAACACATGGACACCATCATTCAACTCCTTAGGACTTGAACTTCTGATCTGCCCTTCTAAGTAGAAGAAGGAGGATCAGAACTTGCAGCCCAACCGTTCCTAAACATTTCCAGTAACAGGCCAGTCTGGGTTATAGGAGACATGGAGTCAAAGAATAAACAACTAGACCTATGGCTCAATGTCAATCATTGGATCATAAATTCAAGGCCAGCCTGAGTTACGTATCACCTTCCAGGTCATTCTGGACTACATAGATCCTGGTTCAACAAAACAAACACATAGAATTAGTCGAGTATGGTAGCAAACACCTTTAATCACAGCACTGTACTTATGGTAGCTTATATTTGGGAAGTGAAAGTGGAATAAATCTTCCTAAAATTGTTTGTTGTCATGAGGTTTTATCACAGCCACAGATACACAGAATCCATAAACCAGTAAAGGACAACATCTGTAGACTGTGATACTTCAATTATTCCACCTAGAAGTATTAACCTTGAGAGGGTGTGTATTAAAGTTTAGATGTTAAATGTCCAAGGAATGATCCTGTGTTTGAATATTGATCCCTGGCATTGTACTTCAATGTTTTTGAAGGTATGGTAAATGTGATAAATCAAACCTAGAATGAGGACAAGGATCATGGGAGGTATAGAGAAGCTAACTGAATGCAAACAGCCTACTTGGGCCATTGTGCCCCACTGACCAGACCAGCCTTCATGTCCTTGGGGACACATGTGTGTGAGTGAGGTATGTTGAGCCATCATAGAACCTAGGGTGCCAGGATATGCCTCCATCTCCCACATGGGTTGTCTTAGGGTTCTTGCAGACAAGTATTTTCTTGACCATTTTGAACATGCCAGGCTTCTGCCTCTGGGATCCTGGGCTTTGGTGAGAAGTCTCAGGCCTACTGGAGACCATGTGATGAATGCTGTCATCTTTAACCCCCACAGATGTTTGTTCCAGGCCCTAGGGTGCAATGGAACACAGTATTTTGTCACCACATCCCAATGCAGTCATCCTATAGAGCCCAGGAATCAGTCTTTAGAGAAAAATAACCTGAAAACTTTTGAGTGTAGACATGCTGAGTTATTACATCCTTGTCCTAGGGTGATAGGTTCCAAAAGAAAAGCAAAACACTATGCCCCTACTACCCTGAGAATGTCAGAATCCATAACCAAGGGAGGGCCAATGTTGCACGGCCCTTTGTCATTCTTATGATTCTGTTTCATTATAAAAGTGAAACACATCCTGGTTAAGGTTGGATGTCAATGTCCCACAAAGAATCAAGTGTTTGGACGCAGTCCCCACCAGGTGACATCATTTGGGAAAACTTGTGGACCCAGGAAAGTGGCTTTACAGGAAGTAGTGGCTCATTGGGCACATTGGGGACAGCCATTTGAATGTAGCCAGTGTCATCAGGCTCCTACTGCCACACTGAACAGAATAGCTTTCCTGTCCTTGGTGACAGAAGGTAAAGAAACCATCGAGGTGTGCTGAGCTGCCATTGGTCCATTTCTTGCTGTGACCTCACAATGACAGAATCCTCTTCACTAACAGCTCTGGCTGAGGCTGACTCCAGTCCTTACAGTTCAGAAGCTGTTAGCTGGTTGGAGACTATTGAGATTCACTCATCAGTGAGCTACTTGTACTTGGATAGTGGTGAATTGGTGAATCTGAACACAGTGAGTGGCCTCTAGTTCATAGATACCGGGTTTAGAGATTTTGTTTCCCTGAATTTAAACTAAATCCACAGTCCTTCTTCTTTGGTTTGGGGTATAATGTGTGGCAATTTTTATTAGAATTTACTCTATGTGTTATGTTTTGATTTTTCGAGACAGGGTTTTGGAGGCTGTCCTGGAACTCATGTGTAGACCATGATGGCACAAACTCACAGAGATTCGCCTGTCCATGCCTCGCATTTGCTGGGACTTAAGGGGTGTGCCACCAAAGTCCGACTGAATTTACTCTATTTTAATGTGTCATTTTATCTGGACTTATCTCTTCTTTTGCCATTTAAAAATATCAGTCTATATTAATTGAACAAGATTCTCATGGGGCATTTCCATACATGTACAAAAACTCGGACCACATTCCCGTGATCTCACTGCCCCTTTCCAAGTCCCTAGTGTTTCGCTTTTTTTTTCAGCCACTTTCTGAGTACAGGGCAAGTCATGTGTACTGTTGAGAGGACTGACAGGCCACAGTGGATGGTCTCTTAGAGAAGGGCACCAATGTGTCTGTGCTTTGACAGAAAGCCTCAAGCTAGGTGGTTATCTTGGGATCTTCCTGGCAGTTCAAGGTCATGATTGGCAAGGACAGAGAAAATAGTCAGATCCTCTTCTTTCGATGAAATATATGGAACAGGGCAGCTGAAAAGAATTCAAGAACACAGTAAGTGAAAGTGTAAAGAGAGCCTGCAAACTCTTAGAGGCCAAGTAGCAATCAACTAACCTTCCTATTTGGACAGATACCCAACAAGTAAAGTGTCTCTCCACTCACCCCACACCAAATGACCCTAAATCGCTAAGAAGCCCCATGCTCCTTCCGTTACATACCCTTATCCCTATTCCTGACTTCCCCATCCTCTCTGTAGCTAATTCCTATCAACGGCTGTTGTCTCCATGCTCTGATCCAAGGTTATTTTGATGAACAACAGACTCTAGGTTGCTGGGTTTTCCATTGAGCTCCTATACAAGATGCATCAGCTGACCCTGAAGGACAACTCTCCTTAGGATGGCCACAGCTAGTTGGATCATGTCTGATTGCAGGGTGTGTGTGTGTGTGTGTGTGTGTGTGTGTGTGTGTGGTGTGTTTGTGTGTGAGTGTGTGTGTGTGTGTGTGCACACATGTGCCTGTGTCCTGCAAAGTCCCTGTTAAAAACTTCAATCCTAAGAGAACTCTATTAACAAATGGGCACTCAGGAGCACTAGAGATTGTCACACAGAAGAACATGTGGCCTTTAAGAAAAGGCTTCATAGACTGAGTTCATGCTTTTCCTTGATCATGTGAAAATACAAACCAATTCTAATTAGAATGCAGTCCTGTTATACTCACAGTCCTCAGGTACTTGATCTTATCTTGCGAATGTCTAGATACACAAGGAACCAATTTCTGTTGTATTTCAGTGACATAACTAAAGATTTTTGTTTGAGAGAGGAAGGGCCTAGGGTGCCAGAATATGGCTCCATCTCCCACATGCTGTCTTAGGGTTCTTGCAGACAAGTATTTTCTTGACCATTTTGAACATGCCAGGCTTCTGCCTCTGGGATCCTGGGCTTTGGTGAGAAGTCTCAGGCCTACTGGAGACCATGTGATGAATGCTGTCATCTTTAACCCCCACAGATGTTTGTTCCAGGCCCTAGGGTGCAATGGAACACAGTATTTTGTCACCACATCCCAATACAGTCATCCTATAGTGGCCAGGAATCAGTCTTTAGAGAAAAATAACCTGAAAACTTTTGAGTGTAGACATGCTGAGTTATTACATCCTTGTCCTAGGGTGGTAGGTTCCAAAAGAAAAGCAAAACACTATGCCCCTACTACCCTGAGCATGTCAGAATCCATAACCAAGGGAGGGCCAATGTTGCGGGGCCCTTTGTCATTCTTATGATTCTGTTTCATTATAAAAGTGAAACACATCCTGGTTAAGGTTGGATGTCAATGTCCCACAAAGAATCAAGTGTTTGGACACAGTCCCCACCAGGTGACATCATTTGGGAAAACTTGTAGACCCAGGAAAGTGGCTTTACAGGAAGTAGTGGCTCATTGGGCACATGGGGACAGCCATTTGAATGTAGCCAGTGTCATCAGGCTCCTACTGCCACACTGAACAGAATAGCTTTCCTGTCCTTGGTGACAGAAGGTAAAGAAACCATCGAGGTGTGCTGAGCTGCCATTGGTCCATTTCTTGCTGTGACCTCACAATGACAGAATCCTCTGCACTAACAGCTCTGGCTGAGGCTGACTCCAGTCCTTACAGTTCAGAAGCTGTTAGCTGGTTGGAGACTATTGAGATTCACTCATCAGTGAGCTACTTGTACTTGGATAGTGGTGAATTGGTGAATCTGAACACAGTGAGTGGCCTCTAGTTCATAGATACCGGGTTTAGAGATTTTGTTTCCCTGAATTTAAACTAAATCCACAGTCCTTCTTCTTTGGTTTGGGGTACAATATCTGGCAATTTTTATTTTTTATTAGAATTTACTCTATGTGTTATGTTTTGATTTTTCGAGACAGGGTTTTGGAGGCTGTCCTGGAACTCATGTGTAGACCATGATGGCACAAACTCACAGAGATTCGCCTGTCCATGCCTCGCATTTGCTGGGACTTAAGGGGTGTGCCACCAAAGTCCGACTGAATTTACTCTATTTTAATGTGTCATTTTATCTGGACTTATCTCTTCTTTTGCCATTTAAAAATATCAGTCTATATTAATTGAACAAGATTCTCATGGGGCATTTCCATACATGTACAAAAACTCGGACCACATTCCCGTGATCTCACTGCCCCCTTCCAAGTCCCTAGTGTTTCCCTTTTTAATTCAGCCACTTTCTGAGTACAGGGCAAGTCATGTGTACTGTTGAGAGGACTGACAGGCCACAATGGATGGTCTCTTAGGGAAGGGCACCAATGTGTCTGTGCTTTGACAGAAAGCCTCAAGCTAGGTGGTTATCTTGGGATCTTCCTGGCAGTTCAAGGTCATGATTGGCAAGGACAGAGAAAATAGTCAGATCCTCTTCTTTCGATGAAATATATGGAACAGGGCAGCTGAAAAGAATTCAAGAACACAGTAAGTGAAAGTGTAAAGAGAGCCTGCAAACTCTTAGAGGCCAAGTAGCAATCAACTAACCTTCCTATTTGGACAGATACCCAACAAGTAAAGTGTCTCTCCACTCACCCCACACCAAATGACCCTAAATCGCTAAGAAGCCCCATGCTCCTTCCGTTACATACCCTTATCCCTATTCCTGACATCCCCATCCTCTCTGTAGCTAATTCCTATCAACGGCAGTTGTCTCCATGCTCTGATCCAAGGTTATTTTGATGAACAACAGACTCTAGGTTGCTGGGTTTTCCTTTGAGCTCCTATACAAGATGCATCAGCTGACCCTGAAGGACAACTCTCCTTAGGATGGCCACAGCTAGTTGGATCATGTCTGATTGCAGGGTGTGTGTGTGTGTGTGTGTGTGTTTGTGTGTGAGTGTGTGTGTGTGTGTGTGTGTGCACACATGTGCCTGTGTCCTGCAAAGTCCCTGTTAAAAACTTCAATCCTAAGAGAACTCTATTAACAAATGGGCACTCAGGAGCACTAGAGATTGTCACACAGAAGAACATGTGGCCTTTAAGAAAAGGCTTCATAGACTGAGTTCATGCTTTTCCTTGATCATGTGAAAATACAAACCAATTCTAATTAGAATGCAGTCCTGTTATACTCACAGTCCTCAGGTACTTGATCTTATCTTGCGAATGTCTAGATACACAAGGAACCAATTTCTGTTGTATTTCAGTGACATAACTAAAGATTTTTGTTTGAGAGAGGAAGGGCCTAGGGTGCCAGAATATGGCTCCATCTCCCACATGCTGTCTTAGGGTTCTGGCAGACAAATATTTTCTTGACCATTTGAGTATATCAGGCTACTGCCTCTGGGATCCTGGGCTTTGGTGAGAAGTCTCAGGTCTCATGAGTATCATGTGTTGAATGACGTCATCTTTAACCCCCCATAGATGTTACTCCAGGCCCTGGGGTTCGAAGAAACACAGCATTTTGTCACAACATCCCGATATAGTCAGTGGCTGCCTGTTCTCTGAGTGAATTCTCCTGAGCCATTTCCCCACATGGACACTCTGGGTTTTCAAGTGTCTGTTGTCTTTGCAACTGCTCTCCCTTCTGGTTTTACTAGAACCTCATCTCTGTCAGTATTGGTTACAGAAAGAGGATCATGATCCTCTGCAATGAGCATCTCTTAGCTTCTGTGACCTTTGTTTTATTCTCAGAGTTGCTGGATGGTTCCTGCATACCCCATTGGTGTCATATTCTACTGTCCACTGTTGTAGAAGATGCTTTCTTCTCTTGTGAGCGTTAAGTACCTGCTTAGTTTGCCTGCAATGTCTCTGAGTGTCATCTTAAGGGCATAGGAATGGGTTGCTATGGACATGCTCCTAGGCCTGATTTGAACAGTTTCTTTAAACTTCCCCCTTTTCAATTCGGTTCTAGCCATATCACCGAGGACGCGACCATGGAGCAGGGCAGGGAGGCCTGCTGCTCCTCTGAGGACTCCTTCATGCCTGAATATAAGATGCTGAAGACCGTGGGCCAGGGACAATTTTCGAAGGTCAAGCTGGCCATCCACGTTCCTACTGTAACCCATGTGGCTGTAAAAATGATCAGAAATGAGAAGGACTACGCCTCAGTTGTTGCTAGTGAAATAAACATCATGAAATCTCTCAAACACCCGCACATAATCGAATTGTTCCACGTGTTCCAATCAAGAGACACCACCTTCTTAGTGATGGAACACGCATCACAGGGAGATCTTTATCGATACATTATGGAACGGAGGTGCTTACATGAGAGCGAGGCACGGAGGCTATTTACCCAGATTGTCCTTGCAGTTGAGTATTGCCACAACAACCAGATTGCCCATAGAGACATTAAAGCTGATAACATACTGCTTGACTGGATGGGCAACGCAAAACTTTGCGATTTTGGCCTTGCAGCAAAAGTGCCCCCAGGGCACCTTCTGACAGATTACTGTGGTACCCCTCTCTACTGTGCACCGGAACTTTTTGTTGGCGAAGCCTATGATGGTTTCAGAGCTGATATATGGAGTTTGGGAGTTCTCCTCTTCCTCATGGTGGTTGGGCGCTTTCCCTTCTGGGCCAGGTCTCCTGAAGGTCTGAGGCGGCAGATCCTCAGCTCAAAATACAGCATACCTGAGCATATTTCCAACGATATTTTCATAGTCATCATACGATTACTGATGATCAACCCAGGCAGCAGGCCCAGCATTGATCAAATCATGAGGTGCTCCATGATCACAGACACCCTTGCACGTTTGCCTCCTTCCACACAGAGACTCCCAGGCACCCTGACAACCACCAGCATTGTCAGCAGCATGACAGTCATGGGGTATAAGTCTGAGGAAAACACTGATTGTCTCAGAGAACAAAAGGACAACCAGCTGATGGCCACTTACCTGATTCTCAAACACGAGTCCTCTGTGGGAGATAGCTGCCATCAGCCGGTGAAACCCAGGCAGTCAGGCCTTGTCCTCAACCTGGGAGATCATCACACCTTCCCTGTGCCTCTAAGGAGAGCTACTGAGCCTGCTCCCCTGGCCTTCACCATGTCATGCAGTCTTCAGGAGACAGAGCATGAGAACAATGCCAGGCAGGGTGGCACAAGGCATAGCATGCCTGCCACCCTATGCCACCTGTCAGACAGGCCCCAACCTCCACACCTAGTCTTCCCGAACAGGCCCCGTTCTTCTTGACCTTACACGCAGTAGCGTGGTAATGAGCGAGAGTTCCTCTGAGTCAAAGATCGGGTCACATGTCAGCCCCAATGACAGTGTCTGCCCATCACTGTTCTTAATGTTCAATGATTCTTGTTCACCAGACGACAAGGAGACCACATGTAACACAGGCAGTGTTTCTTCCTGGAGTTATCAAGAGGAACTCTGCAGCTCCAGAGACACAGCTCAGAGTGTAACTTCCAAAGGCCCCTCCTCTGGGGATACCAGGCAGGGAGACTCCAGGATACAAGAAGAAATTAGTGAGGAAATGACTATCACACAGGAAGAGGCCATGAATGAGGAAGGTACCATCATACACGAAACAACCATACCCCAGGAAGAGGCTCTCACACCAGAAGTGACCAATACTCATGATGAGACCATCACAGAAGAAACCACCATGGTCGATGGAGAGACCATGGCTCACACTGAGGCCATCATAGAGGAAAAGAATATAATGGAGGAGGAGGACATGCATCGGGAAGCAAATGTCTCCCTGGAAGTGAGGAGGACCCAGGCAGGGCATAAGACTCAGGATGACAGCATCACAGAGGAGGAGGCCATCACCCACGGCCAGCCTGAGGTTGCCGGCCAGGCTTCCTCCCCAATCCGGAGGCGCCACAGGTGGAAGGGGTTCAGGAAAACAATGGTGAACTGCCTCAGACACGTGTGCTTCTGTTTGCCACCTGCCAGCAGAAGCCACGATGCCTGTCAGAACCTGGCTCCAAAGAAACCGGATTGTGGAGTCACTCATAGAACCTGGTGGCGACCGGCCTGCTGCTCCTCTGAGGATTCCTTCATGCCTGATTATAAGATGTTGAAGACCGTGGGCCAGGGACAATTTTCGAAGGTTAAGCTGGCCATCCACGTTCCTACTGTAACCCATGTGGCTGTAAAAATGATCAGAAATGAGGAGTACGCCTCAGTTGTTGCTACTGAAATCAACATAATGAAATCTCTCAAACACCCGCACATAATCGAATTGCTGAACGTGTTCCAATCAAGAGACACCACCTTCTTAGTGATGGAGCACGCATCACAAGGAGATCTTTTTGGACACATTATGCAACAGAGGTGCTTAATTGAGAGTGAGGCACGGAGGCTATTTACCCAGATTCTCCTTGCAGTTCAATACTGCCACAACAACCAGATCGTCCATAGGGACATTAAGGCCAATAACATACTGCTTGACTGTATGGGAAACGCAAAACTTTGCGATTTTGGCCTTGCAGCAAAGGTGCCCCCAGGGGACCTGATGACAGATTCCTGTGGTACCCCGCTCTACTGTGCTCCAGAAGTGTTCTCAGGTGAAGCCTATGATGGTTTCAGAGCTGATATATGGAGTTTGGGAGTTCTCCTCTTCCTCATGGTGGTTGGGCGCTTTCCCTTCTGTGCCAGGTCTCCTGAAGGTGTCAGAATACCTCAGCACATTTCCACCGATATTTCCATAGTCATCACCCAACTACTGATGAAGGACCCAGGCGGGAGGGCCAACATTGAACAAATCATGGCGTGCCCCATGATCAGGGACACCATTGCCCTTTTGCCTCCTTCCACACAGAGACTCCCAGGCACCCTGACAACCACCAGCATTGTCAGCAGCATGACGGTCATGGGGTATAAGTCTGAGGAAAACACTGATTGTCTCAGAGAACAAAAGGACAACCAGCTGATGGCCACTTACCTGATTCTCAAACACGAGTCCTCTGTGGGAGATAGCTGCCATCAGCCGGTGAAACCCAGGCAGTCAGGCCTTGTCCTCAACCTGGGAGATCATCACACCTTCCCTGTGCCTCTAAGGAGAGCTACTGAGCCTGCTCCCCTGGCCTTCACCATGTCATGCAGTCTTCAGGAGACAGAGCATGAGAACAATGCCAGGCAGGGTGGCACAAGGCATAGCATGCCTGCCACCCTATGCCACCTGTCAGACAGGCCCCAACCTCCACACCTAGTCTTCCCGAACAGGCCCCGTTCTCTTGACCTTACACGCAGTAGCGTGGTAATGAGCGAGAGTTCCTCTGAGTCAAAGATCGGGTCACATGTCAGCCCCAATGACAGTGTCTGCCCATCACTGTTCTTAATGTTCAATGATTCTTGTTCACCAGACGACAAGGAGACCACATGTAACACAGGCAGTGTTTCTTCCTGGAGTTATCAAGAGGAACTCTGCAGCTCCAGAGACACAGCTCAGAGTGTAACTTCCAAAGGCCCCTCCTCTGGGGATACCAGGCAGGGAGACTCCAGGATACAAGAAGAAATTAGTGAGGAAATGACTATCACACAGGAAGAGGCCATGAATGAGGAAGGTACCATCATACACGAAACAACCATACCCCAGGAAGAGGCTCTCACACCAGAAGTGACCAATACTCATGATGAGACCATCACAGAAGAAACCACCATGGTCGATGGAGAGACCATGGCTCACACTGAGGCCATCATAGAGGAAAAGAATATAATGGAGGAGGAGGACATGCATCGGGAAGCAAATGTCTCCCTGGAAGTGAGGAGGACCCAGGCAGGGCATAAGACTCAGGATGACAGCATCACAGAGGAGGAGGCCATCACCCACGGCCAGCCTGAGGTTGCCGGCCAGGCTTCCTCCCCAATCCGGAGGCGCCACAGGTGGAAGGGGTTCAAGAAAACAATGGTGAACTGCCTCAGACACGTGTGCTTCTGTTTGCCACCTGCCAGGAGAAGCCACGATGCCTGTCAGAACCTGGCTCCAAAGAAACGGGATCCTGGAGTCACCCACAGAATCAGGTGGGGCCACTTACTTTATTTTACTCATTCTTTGCCTCCTGTCCTTTGTGACAGACGATGACTATGCCCACTTGCGGCCCACTTGTTTTGTTTTCCTTTATTTTTATTTAAGTAGGAAACAAGCTTGTTTCTCATGTCAATCACATATCCCTCCCCTCCCCTCCTGCAACCCCCCCACACACACCAGACTCCTCCAGTCCCCCAACCAATCTCTACTCTGATCCCAAGTGAGTGTGAGATCCTCTATTGTGGCACACTTGTGAACTTAAGAACCTGTTCCTTCAGAAAGACCAACCCCAGAGGATGCCCTCCAGTGTGACCTCAGGCTTGTTGAGGTAGAATTGGACAGCAGAGATGCTGATCAAAGCAGGCAGAGGGATGCTTAGGTGCTGCATCGTCAGCACAGTAAGTTCTATGTGTGCCAAAGTTACTAAGTGTCTGCTTCCTCTTTCTTTCTGCTTTGTAGTACTGAAGATGTCAAGGCCCAGCTCCGTGGCTTATGAGCCACGGGTTGGGGATCGGCCTGGCTGAGGTGTGGACAATCCCGCAGGAGAGCGAGGCCAGACGTCCAGGAGCAGTGTGTCCACAGGCTCCTCCTGCAGAGGAAGAACAGCTGTCCACACCAGCTGAGCTCTCACCAGGTGAAATCCCAGGCGGGAAGGGCAGGCTTTACATGGGGTCTTTCTTGTTCAGAGGGCAGGGCAGAGTTACAAAGGTGGCCCAGGCTGTGTTGTGGAACAATAGACCCTTCCCCTCTCCCCTGCCTGGGTAAACATCACAGACTGCACTCTGGGTAATGACTGTCCTTGGCTCCTTGTTTCCTGGCAGAGAACATGATCTTCTCCATGGGGTGGCCCTTTTCACCCCCAGGGAGAGTATTCCTAGTTAGCCAGTCTCATCATCCCCAAGATGGGCTCTCAGGTTGAGAATCTGGCCTGCAAGAGGCCCTATAGAATGCTCTAGAGGGCAACCTCCTGCCAAACACTTGCAAAAACCTGCAAATGTTCTGAGTCCTCAGACCCCACTCAGAGCAAAACTTGGAAATTCTCATCTGGGGAGTGACTCAAGGGCAGCCGATTCCTCTCTCTCCACCACTTCTGCCCTCTAGTTACTCACCAGCTGCCTCTCCATGCTTGCTTCTTCAAGGCCGTCATTCACTTTGAGAACTGGATGCCGAACTCAACACCACTTGCCTCAGCGTGAGGGGATGATGGGTGTCCTGAACATGGAAAAACTGAAACTTTCAAGAGGGGCCAGCAACCTGCTGTAGGCCATGCCTAGTGCCAGCCACAGTGTGCTCTCTGCCACTCGGTGGTTGCCTCCATCTACTTGACTCCTTGCAATTCCATGTCTGCTCTCAGCCAGGCTATGGTTGCTTCCAATTCTGTGTCATTTCAAGTTGATTGTTCTCCCACAGGTAAGGAGCCTTTTGCAGGTCATGTGGGAGAGCTTCCGGGAAACCATCCCTGTTTATTCTGCAGTTACACTGGCATGATAACATCCTGTATCCTCTTTCTCCCTAGACTGTCCCAAATTGTCATGTCTCGACGAACAGGGAAGGCTGTGTGACTGACATGGATGGTCTGTCTATCCCACGTGTCCCTAAATTGAACCCAGGAAGAAAAGGTTCCTGGAATCTTCATTTTGCTGGGACATCATCTGTGCTTCCCAGCTTCTCCGTATCTTGTTCTGAGAGGTTCACAAAAAATTCTCTGACATGTCCTCTGAGCAACACTAAGTTCATCATTGGAAAGACATTTTTAACCGAATCTGAGAAGGAAGGTATGTCTTCTTCTACTCTGAGGTTGCACGAGCACCCCAGAACCCTATGCTTTCCTAACCACCATCTACAGCCCTGGGAAAGGAGATTCCCCAGGATCCTGTTCTGGCCTCAGCCACTGGACCAGGATGAGCTGCTCAGACACCCCTGAGGAAGAATTCTCAGGGCACTCTATCATGCGTGGGAGGAAGATCTGACTTGACATTCTGATAATAGTAACAAAACTATATTGTTCACCTGCCCCCATCCACTGGAATGTGGAGCCCCTGGTGAGACTTTTCATTCCTCTCTCTCTCTCTCTCTCTCTCTCTCTCTCTCTCTCTCTCTCAACTTTCTCTGCCTCCATCTCTGTGTTTGTCTCTGTCTCTGTGTCTACTTATACATGAACAACTTCCATGCAGGTAAGCTGCTCTGTCTTAATCTGGATCTGAAAAGACTCACTATTATTCCCTGAAGAAGGCCATGAACAGCAATCACTAATACAAACATAAAATTGACATTGACTGGAGTAGATACAGAAATTATAACTCAGACATGAAACCTTGAATCACCCACTTAAAAAGAAACGTATCACAGAAGTATGCTAAGGGAGCCCATTCTGTCTACAACCCAAGATGGAAATTGTCTTTCATTCCCTGACAGTAGTGCTAAGATGTCACATGCACAATTCCATCTTATTTTCTGACATTTGTTTCTGTCCACATTGGGTGGTAGGAATAGTATTGCCCCAACTCTTTTCTTGTGTTGGCTGTAATGTTCACACAGAGTCTTGCCCTGTAACTGGGGAGGTCTGAGTGCTCTGTGTTGTCCACGCTGGATTTATTTCCCTGTGGTGCTGCAGACTCAGTCCTCCTTAGGTGCACTGGAACGCTGCTAGCATTTGTGGTTTAGTCTCGATCTCTTCTGTCCCAGGCAGGCCGCTCTGTAGGAAAAGATGACTTGCAGCAGGATCTTCGTCTTCTTCTCCAACTCCCCAAGCCAGAATTTCCAGGTCTGAATCCCTCTGCCCTGTCAAGTAGAAGCAGCTCAGGGCCAGTGTAGGGAGTTCCGGGCTGAGTGTAGCCCATCACAAAGGACATGCACATTTTGAATATTTGAAGTCTGAGATGTGGACACTGGCGCTGGGAGCTGTGTGAATGAAAGGACAAGCAGGAATGGCAGCTTGCTGGCCTGGGATCAGTGAGACCCTCATGTGAAAAGTAAGGTGGATGCCCATGGGCCCGGAGTCCCCTTTGAACCCAGGACTGTGGGTGGGGGAGGCAGCCTGATCTCTGTGAATTCTGGGCTACAGAGAGATTTCAGGCACAGCCAGGTATACACAGAGACACCCTGTCTCAAAAAGCAAACAAGAGAATTAAGGTGTAAAAGCACTGGATGAATATTTCTGGTCTACACACGTACTCAAAGGGTGAGAACAGACAGACACACAATACTCATTATGTACAATTCAGCAATCCTGCCTTACCTGTTTTTCCTCAATACTGTCTAGACCCTATATTCCTGGGATTTTATTGTCATTTCCAAAATTCCTGGCTCTTAAACCCCACAGCGACATAACTATCAGTCCCCTAAAATGAGAAACCTTTTTTTTCCCCTCTCCTCGAATGCTGACACAGGTTTTCTGTATGCAGTCCAGGCTGCCAAGGACTGGCGGCCTCCTACCACTGGCCAACTGAGTGTTGGGGCTTCAGGTCAGAACCTAATCCCATTGGGTTTTGTGATTTTGTTTTTAAATGACGCATGTAGCTGTGGATATCCTTAAATTTTGAATCTTTCAATCTCCATGTACCAAATGCAGGGATTCCAGTAATTCTCCACCAAGTCTGGTTTATTTTGTCTTCTGGACAAACCCAGGGTTTCTTGTATGCTGGGCAAGAGCTGTCCCAACTGAGTCACACCTGTATCTCAGCCTATCCGGGGATTCAGTGTAGCTGAGGAAGATCTGGAGTTCTGGGCCCCTATGGAATTACAGGACTGCACCATTTACCCTGCATTTTATCTTTTACCATTTCTAGATGACCTCTATTTCTACTGAGAGTCTTTTGACGGACTGAAAGAAAGAACTGTGGCCAGACACCACTTTTCTTCTGAAGCTGGTGAGTTGGGACCTGGGTGGGAGGGAGGTAAAGGAAGCTGTCCCCATCCCATGCCATGTCAAGGACACTCAGGTCAGTGTGCAGCAGCCCAGGTCATCACCTGTGTAGCCAGGTATCCTTGAAGCCCCGTTCTGATCAGCAGCCCTCAGGTTGGGCCAGAATGGAAGGCAGAAGACTCTCCAGCGCATGTCCACAGCAGCAGCTGATGACAGTAGGAAGATGGAGCCTCAACCCCACTGCTTGAAGGTTTAGTGCCCTCGCCCCTGGGGTCTCATTCCCTCCCATTTGCCCTTTCTAGGCACTTTGTGGCAGAGCAAGGGTGAAGGAGTATGCCAATAATTCCAGGACTCTGGAGGCTTGGATTGTAGACGTGTCATAGACTCAAGGCAAGCCTGGGCTATATAAGGACCAGTAGTCTAGCTTTGGTGGCAGTGTAAGATCTCTCTCTAAAAACAGAATGTGACCAGGAGGACTAGGGATCAGTGTGTCCAGCCTGCAGAGTGATTCTTGGTCCTGGGTTCTTTCCCAGCACAAATTACAACCAGGTGGAGCTTCCCTGATATTGGGGGTAGAGACAAGAGGATCAGGCAGTCAAGGTCATCTTCCAAAGCAGAGAGTTTGAGGCCAGTCTAGGAGGAATGACACTATGTTCAATAAGCAATCCCTACTCCCAAATCTAAATGCCCATATCTGAGAAAAGAATGCCATGGAAGCCCATCACAACCTCATATCCTGGTGAATCAGAATGCCTTTCCCATGGAGACATGAACCCAGAGCATCCAGAGGTGATTCACATCTGGAATTGGCCTGAGCATTGAGTCATCACCTGTGCACTGCACTAAGGAGCTGTTCAGGAAGTACTTCCTAAGGGTCATGTGGGAGGAGTGAGGAGGGAGGCATGGAGGGCATGGAGACTCCCTCCTGTGCCAATGAGAAAGGCAGAATGCAGCTGGCTCTTGAAGCTGTGAGACACTCTGATGTTTTGCTGCCCCCTTGTGGCCTCTCTAAACCTGTTCCCTGTTAGGGCACCTGATCTGCTGCAGTCCCTGCTTCAGCTCTGGACAAGATTGTGGTGGTTAGGTGGCTTTCAGAACGGGGTCGACGGAGGCTTACCCTGCTAAACCCATCTAACATGCTTTTGTCCTTCCTTCTTTCATTGCTTTTTCCCATTTATGATTACAGACAAAATAGCTTTCAGAGCTGGGCTGTCCAGATGTCCCTGAACAAATTTCACAGACCCACTGCTGCTCCTGGACCTGCACTCCACAATGGAGATGACTGGGTTGCGAGTAAAGTCTGTGAAATCCACACCAGTGTGAGATTCAGAAGCACAGGAGGGCTGGGACCGTGCCTGTCTGTCCACAATACAGTGCCTGCTTTCGTTGTGACATATGAGTTCTTTCCCCAGAAAGCGAGGGAAAAGCCAGCAGGCTGGCTGAGGCTTCTTACCCCAGATGGAGACAGGTGCGTGCCCTTTTTGTTTTGTTTTATTATGTTTTTGAGACAGGGTTTTTCTGTCTGTCTCTGTCTCTCTAGAGCAGACTGGCCTTTGTCTCACTGACATTTGCCTGCTTCTGTCTCCCAAGTCCTGGGATCAAAGTCGTGCACCACCACAAACACCACCCTCTTGGCTGCAGGTGCTTCAACCTTGCTGGACTTGAGCAAGCCTGTGTCCAAAACACAAGGTGTACAGCATCTCAGAGTTGACATTTGAGGGAATACATGTGCTACATACATAAAGGTTGGAGAATACACGTGGATATATACAAGCACACAGATGCACAAGCACACAACTGTAAACATATTACAGGTGAGTGTATCTTCACGCGCACACACACACACACACACACACACACACCACCACCACCACCAAAGTAAGCATAGTGATAAAGAAGCACAAAGTTATCTGAAGGACCAGGTAGCATTTGGAAGTCCTGACCTTCATGCAGGAGCATCCTGATGGGAAAACCAGGAGAGTGAGACAGGGTGATGCTGCTGAGAACACTGGGGTGGTCCTCTCTGGATGCTAGGTGATGACAGAGCCCAGCAAGCCAAGCTTTTGGGATGCTTATTACTGACCAGCAGATACGGGAGGTGGGCTGACAAGGTGTTCCCAGCGTTGTTAGCACTTGTGTCACCTAATGTCTCTGCTCTCTGCAGCTTGGGGCTATCAAAAGCCAGTGGAGATGCCCCTGCACTAGAAGAAGACCACCTCCATCAACTCTACTAGCACCCCCATATCATTAAGTTATGTTTGTTAATTTGGAAATAAATTGTGTTTTTTAATGAGGCTTTGTTGTTTTTTTTCTGTATTTATTCTCTGTTTCCATACCAATCCCAGTTCACCCTCCCTCCCCTCCTCCTGCTTCCTACATTTACCCATCCCAACTTGCATCTTCTCCTCAGAGAGGGTAAGGACTCCCATGGGGAGTCAATGTGGTCTGTCACATGACCAAGTTGAGGCTGGACCAAGGCCCACACCGCTGTGCCTAGGCTGGGCAAGGTATGTCTCCATTGGGACTGTGCTCCAAAAATCCAGTTCATGCACAGGGATAGATCCTATTCCTACTGCCTTTGGCCCTCAATTACTGCCAATGCCACACCACGATCAACTGCATTGAGGGGCCCTAGATCAGTGCTAAGCAGGTTTCCCAGCTGTCTGTGTGGAGACAGTGAGCTCCTGCTAGCTCAGGTCTGCTGTTTCTGTGATTTTCTCCCATCCTGGTTTGACCCCTTTGCTCATATTAGCATTCCTCCCTTTCTTTCACTGGTCTCCAGAAGCTCAGGCCAGTGGTTAATTGTGGATCTCTGTGGTTTCTTGATCATCCACAATGGCTCCCTCTGTCATAGCATATCTTTCTTGCTCTCCTGCCCTGTCCTTCCCCCAAACTGACCACCCCATTACGTCATGTTCTCCTCCTCAGTCCCCTTCCCTCCTCCCCTCTCACCTTCTACCATGCTCCCAATTTACTCAAGAGATCTTCTCCATTTCCCTTCCTAGGCAGATCCATGTATGTCCCTTCAGGGTCCTCTTTGCTACCTAGCTTCTCTGGGCTGGTGGGCTGTAGATGGGTTTGTTTCTCTTTAATATCTAACATCCACTTATGAGTGAATATGCCGTATTAGTCCTCACTCAAGATGTCTTTTTCTACTTCCATCCGTTTGCCTGTAATACTCAAGATGGTTTTAGTTTTGTTTTCCTTTGCTTTTACCACTGAGTATGCTCCATTGTGTAAGTGTACCACAACTTCTTTAGGCATCCTAAGGGCATCTAGGTTGTTTTTAAGGTTCTGACTATTACAAATAATGCTATGAACACACTTGACCAAATGCCCCTGTGGTGCGGTGTGCATCTTTTGGGTATATGACCAAAAGTGGTATTGCTGGGTGACAAGGATAGTCAACGCCATATTTGATATATTTATATACCAGAGAAAGAACTTATACACAAGCTGGAAGATCGGAAGCATGGCAGGCTTCCAAGCAAAAATTGTTTTACAAATGTGGGTGTCCTTATATTTGGGGCATAGATATTCAGAACTGAGAATTCATCTTGATGCATTTTTTCTGTAATGATGAATACGAAACATCCCTCATCTCCATTAATTAATTTTAGTTTGATGTCTACTTTGTCAGATATTATGATACCTACATCAGCTTGTATCTTAGGTCCATTTGATTGTAAAATCTTTTCCCAATCTTTACTGTCAGTTAACGTTTGTCTTTGAACTGGAGGTGCATTTCTTGTATGCAGCAGAGGGATGGATTCTGTTTCCTTATGGATTCTGTTGATCTGTGTCTTTTTATAGGCAAGTTGAGACCACTGATATTAAGGGATATTAATGACCAGTTATTGCCACTTTCCATTACTTTTGTTTTAGTGTTGTTGGTAGTATTCTGTACGGGTTCCCTTAGGATTTAGCTGGCGGGGGATAATCTATTGCCTGTATTTTTGTGGGTGCAGTTAACTTCCTTTGGTTGGAGTTTTCCTTATAGTATATCCTGTAGGGCAGGCTATGTGGATAGGTACTTTTTAAAATCGGACCTTGTCAAGGAATAGCTTTTTTCTCCACTTACAGTGATTGAATGCTTTGCTGGGTATAGTATACTAAGGTGGCATCCGTGGTCCCTTAAGTGTCTGCGTAACTCCTGTGTAAGACCTTCTGGTTTTCCTTGTTTCCAGTGAGGAGTGGGATATATTTTTGATAAGTCTGCCTTTATATATTACTTGGCATTTTCTTTTGAAGCTTTTAATATTTTCTTTTTTCCATGTGCTTAGTGCTTTCATTATATGTGGCAAGAGAACTGTTTTTGATCCAATTTATTTGGTTTTCTGTAAGCTTCTTGTACTTTCACAGGCATATCGGTTATCTTCTATGAATTTGTTGAATGTATTTTCTGTTCCTTTGATTTCCTGGACTACATCTCCTTCTTTTATCCCTAGTAATTCTTAGTTTCAGTCTTTTCATTCTCTCCCCCAGTCTGGAGTCTTCATCCTACTTGTCCCTTGGCCTGCATAGCTATTGACTGTTCAGCTTTGTATTAGAACAATCAGGTGCCTTAGGCAGGTAAGGTGAAACAGCAACATATTATATGTGGCATGAGAACTCTTTTGGTCCCATCTATTTGGAGTTTTGTAAACTTCTTGTACTGGATATTTCGTGATAAGAGTGTTGGATTTAGCATTTTCTTTGACCCATGAATCCAGTTCCTCGATGCTATCTACAACACCTGAGATTCCCTCTTCCATCTGTTGTATTCTGTTGTGTATGTTCACATTTGTCATTCCTGATCATTTACCCAGGCTTTCCTTTTCCAGAATTCCCTGGGCTTGTGTTTCTTTATTGTCTCTGTTTCAGCTATCAAGTCTTTAACCATTTCCTTCCCCTGTGTGATTGTTTTTTCTCAGTTTAATTTAAGGGATCTTGTGGATTTCTTCCAGTTTTTTGTTTCTGTTTTCTTCTACATCTTTAAGGGATTTTCATCATTTCCTCCATAAGGGCCTCATCATCTTCATCAAGTTATTTGTAGGGTCATTTTCTTCTGGTTCATCTGCTTTGAGATATTCGTGTCTTGCTGTTGTAGAACCACTGGTTTCTGTTGGTGTCCTATTGTTCTTTATGTTGTGGAGTGTATCTTACAGTGTCATCTACCCATCTGTTCCTCCATCAGTACAGGTGGAGTTTGAGCTTCAGAGGCGGTCACTGTTTCTCCAGTTGGTGTAGTTGGGAGCTGTGGCTCCAATGATCACTCCTCCTGATGCAGGCAAAGGAGTTCTCCAGCTCGCTCCTCCAGGTACAGGCAGGGCCACAGGCTCCAGTGATCATTCCATCAGGTGCAGATGGGGCCACAGTTCCTTTGATCATTCTGTCAGGTGCATAGAGGGCTAAGATACTTGCTGTGGCATTTCACACAGAGAATGGCACTGGATGCTGGCTGGGACACAGGTGCACTTTCTCAGAGGAAGTTCTTAGATAGCTTCTGGAAGTCACGCTGTGTACATGTCCAAATTGCTTCCCACTCTGCTGCTTTTTGTTGTTTTGAGACAGCTTCTTTTGCATAGCTCTGCTTTGGCAGGCCTTGTGCTATGTAGCCCATGCTGACCTTACATTTGAAGCAGTCTGGCTTCCTGAGTTCCTGGGATTATAGCTGTACCTCATCACTCCCTGATCCTTATGGGCCTGTTTTTATTTCAAGTTTTTTTAAAATAGGGTGGTCATATATTTCTGGTTTATACTGCACTTGCTATGTTCAGAGGCTGTCTTTATCTCCTGGTTATCTTTATCACCCCTTTAATTCTGGTATCACACATGTACATCAAATTCAGTACTCAAAGCATCCTAAGGAAGCCCTATCCAAACTGTGCTACATCGGTGGCCCAAAATGTGTTCTTTTTATGAACTTACCATGTTAAAAATATATGTATATGTGCATCTAAAGCCATGATTCTATGGGTGCCTGGTAACATTGGAGGCCATAAGATGGCCTGGGATCTCCTGAACCTTGAGTGAACTATCTTGTGGATGCTGGGAATTGAAGCTGGGTCTCCTGGTAGTACAACCAGCACTCTTACACACTAATTATTTTCTCTAGCTCTTGGTCTTTTTAAAATGTAACTTGTTGTGTGCATCATCTTTTGAAAGAAAATGTGAATTTGGAATGCAGTTCTCAAGTAAAAGAGCCACATTGCCATCAGATCACACAGTTATCTCACAAAACACCCTCAGAGCAGGGCTTGCTGACTGTTGACATTCTAGATCAGCATGTCCCTTGGGCACATCTGTAAGAGATTGTCTTCACTGTTGAGGACAGACTCAGTCATCTCATGTCTCAGGCCCTGAACTGCAGTGTTAGGATACAACGAGCAAGAATGCCTATATGGTCTCTCTTCTCTTGACTGTATCAGTGATACGTGTAGGTGATTGAATTCTTGCCCGAATCCCACTAAATGACAGTGACCTGGACTGTAAACCAAGTAAGCTCTCTCTTCCATTGCTCTTTGTTATATTTTACCATAGTTATGGTGGTGAAAGCAGGACACTTTTCTTGTCTGTGTTAGATGCTAAGGTAATCAATGATTGATCAGTGGTCACCAGTTTGCTCTGTCCTTCATGAGGGATAAGGAATGCAAAGGAGAGAGCTAAGGGAAAGTTTATTAAGGGAAAGTGAGACGTGCTCCCGACTATAAAGTTAGCCAAGATGATGGATAATGTCCAGCTACATTGTTCTGAACTGAAAGTGAAGTTGGTCATTTCTTACTGAGATTGGTCATTTTCTAGGCATAAATGTGGGTTGAACCAATGAGTGCCAAATACTGATTGTATATTCCCTTGGCCCTGTCCTGGGATGATCATGCACCAATTCCCACACAGGGGGTGGTCACTGGCTGTGGTCGTCATTCCTTTTCATTCTTGTTTGCTCATTTTGCTGGCCATTAATTAGACCATGTTCTCTTGGTCATGTGATCAACTTGTTCCTACAGTGTGACAAGGTCTCGATGAGAGAAGGTGAGTGTATCACCCATCCACAGTGTGACAAAATCTCAGTGTGAGGATGAGTTAAGAAAGTCAAGCCATGCATGTTGTATGTGTGCATGTAACTGCATAGCATGTCAAAGGAGTGCTTTTATCTTTGCAATTACCTAATAACGTGACTGTAATATGACTTACCTTGACACCTACGTGTCAGAGGACAGGCACGGGCATCTAATGACAGTGACTGGATGGAGGGTGTGTGTGCAGGATGCGGGGACACTGAGTGTGTGCGCAAGATGGCGGGACGCGGAGTGT